CAGAGCCAGGGATTCAGCCAAGTGGAGGAGCTCTGTGAGAGGACTGAGGGTGAGGGATGGCGTGTCAGGTCTTAGTGAGGGATGGGGTGCAGTGGGACTGCTGGTTACCTGCGGACCTTAGACTTGCTTTCTGCTCCTCCTGGCCCTGGCCAGCCTGGAGCTCTGAGGAGAAGCCGGAACTCTTGCAGGATTGTGGTTTCCTGCCACTGCCAAAGTCCTGGCTCCCTTTTGGGGAAGTCCCACAGGCAGCTTGGCCCATCAGCCCTCTTGTTGCACTCTGGAAACTTCTCTTTCTTCTTAGCCTTGCCCAGCCCTGTAACGCCCCACCCTCTACCCCTTCTCTGTGCCTAGGGGCCTTCCTCAAGGGAAGTGAAATTTCACTGAGTACCTACTCTATGCCTTATACTTTTATAGGCTGATGGCATTTGACACTCAGAATCAACCCTGTGAGGTAGAAATTTGTATTCTTACTTTATAGGCAAAGAAAGTGCAGCTCTAAAAGATGAACTTACTCACCCAATGTGTCAAGCTAGTTGTCAGGCAGGGTAGAATTTGAGCCTCAATCTGTCTTTAGATCCCATAGATACTTGGGCAGTGGGGGAGATATCTTCCATCTACATCAAAGCTCTGATATGGCTCTGTTAGTGTGGACCTCAAGAAAAGATGGGTAGGTGTAGGTGAGAGGTAGATTCCCTGCTGGGTGGCCTTGCTGTGATATGACAGGGTAGTGTTGGCCAGGGGCTGTGTGGGAAGTATGACATTCACCAGTCAGGCCACGTGATCTCCTGCTCTGACTTTAAAGAACATAGCCACAGTACTAGGAGCAGAACTCTGGACCTGAATTAATAGTCCTGGCCTTGAATCCTGTCTGGCTTGTGTGACCTCAGGCAAGTCACTTCCTCCCTAGGCACAAGAGGACGTGAACTGATAAATGGTCCCCAGAGGCCATTCTGGCTCAGCTGCTCTGGTTCTCAGCCATGCTTGGCCACTGCACTCTGGGTAAGAGCCACACCTCATCAAGCCCTCACAACAGCTCTGCTCAGGAGATGCAGGTGCAAAAACTGAGACCCAGAGGGCTTATGTCATTCATCCAAGGTTGGAGCTACTAAAGAACAGAGCTGGGGAGGGCTACACAGGAACAGATATTGAAAGGGGATGTGCCCTGGCTCAGACTTGGACCTCAGCTCTGATACCCATAACCAGATTTTGACAGCCAACTCCTGTCAACCAGAGTCCCTGCAGTACCCAGTATGCTATGGTCACTCTTTGAACTGCTCCGTTTCTAGTGTTAGCAGGCAGCCAAGTTCAGTGCTGAGCATGGAAAGACCTGGTTTCAAATTCGGTGATTGCCTGAGAGAATTAAGCAGATATCTCACTCTCTCTCTCTCTCTGTCTCTCTACCTCTATCTCTCCTGTATCCGGGACTTAGAACATGAAGCACAAGGCCTGGCACACCATACATGCTCACTAAGAGACATTGCTTCTACAGGACTGCAGAAAGGCACAGCGCTGAAGGTGGGCTTTGGGGCCAAATTGGCACTGCATTTTAGCTTCCCTTACAGTATCATCGTAGGCAACTTAATCTCTGTGCCTCAGTTTCCTCAGATGTACACAATAGGGGTAGTAATAAAACTTACCCAATAGGGTTACTAAATGAGATCATGTGCGGGAATTGTTTGGCACAATGCCAGCCATTGTGTAAATGTTAAAGAAATTAGCACATTTCTACTAGGAGTCATTGCCACCCAGATTTCTAAGACGTCACATTACTCTGCAAACAACTGGTGCTGCCTAGGGATCCAAGCAAGGGGAGGATGACGAGTCCTTGGGGCTATTTTCAAGAGATACGTGAGCACAGAGAACACAACCTGCTCTTCCTTTATTTTCTCTTTGTCTCTTTCGTGCTCTCTCTCTGACTCATTTTTATCTCTTTCTCTTTTGCTGTTTCTGTCTCTCAGCTGCTCTTTCTCTTCAACCCTCATTTCTGCCTCTGTCTCTCTTTGTCTCTGTGGCTTTCTGGCAGTGATGACGGGAGCCGGCTAGTTCTGGCTTTGGGAAGCGATCCTGCGCATCTCTTCCAACCCAGCAGTCAGGAAGTCCTTTTGGTAGCTCTAAATCAACCACAGTGGGAGTATTTACACCATGGAAATCAGCAAATGCGACAAATCAGGCCTTTTTATTTTTCCCCCTCGGGGGTCCGTTTACTAGCACACCCCACCATGGTCCTCTTCCTCTCTGCCTCTTACTTCTCTGTCTTTATGTCTCTCTGGCTCTCCCCTCTTTCTCTGTGTCTCTCCGTATCTCCAGCCTCTGCCTCTCTCTCTGCTGCTGCTGCTGCTTTTTCTGTCACTCCTCATCTCTTTGTTTCCTCTCACAAAACTACATAAGCATGGTCACATGCAGTGTGGCCCCCTCATTGCCTCGGGCCATGCAGATGCCAGCCCCTGTGCCTCACATCCCCTGACCCTCAGCATATTGGTCTCCAGAGAGCCAGGCCCAGCAGGAGTTTGGTCCCCATCAAGCCTGGGAGTGACGAAGTCCTAAGAGCTGCCTGTCTACCTCTGCTTGCTGACCATACTGTCTGTCCTTCCTTGGCTCATAGAGCTTTCTGCCTCCTTCTCAGAGGCTTCTGTACAGGCTCCTTCCTCCCCATGCCAGGCCTGCAGAATTCAGGGCCTCCCTTGGGCTGATAAAGGTCCTTTGTGGCAATATACACTATATTTGGGTGTTATTGGAAATGGCAACATTGTATTGTGTGTAGACCTGGTTATGTAAGTTTGTGTCCTCCCAGAGAGGAGAGCTCTATGTGGGTCTGTGTCTTGGGGGAGGGCTGCGCATGTTCCCATGTGTTTGTGTGCGTGTGTGTGTCTATGGAGGGCTCTGCATTGTGCATACTTGCTGGAATGGCTGCAAGTATCTTTGTCTGTGACAGGCAACATGGAGAGAAGTGGCTGAGAGCTGAGATTCCAGAGCCAGATGCCTGGATATACCATGTGTGTGGCATTGGACAACCTCCTTCCGTCCTTCCTTCCTCCCTCCCTCCTTCCCTCCCTACCTCTCTCTCTCTCTCTCTTTCTCGCCTCACTCTGTCACCCTGGATAGAATGCTGTGGCATCATAGCTCACAGCAACCTCAAACTCTTGGGCTTGAGCAGTCAATCCTCTTGCCTCAGCCTCCTGAGTAGCTGGACTACAGGTGCCTGCCCCCCATGCCAGCTAATTTTTCTGTTTTCAGTAGAGATAAGATCTTGCTCTTGCTCAGGCTGGTCTTGAACTCCTGAGCTCAGGTGATCCACCCTCCTTGGCCTCCCAGAGTGCTAGGATTACAGGTGCGTGAGCCACCACACTGGGCCCCTGGACAAGTTTCTAAACCTCTCTGTGGGATCAGCGCCTGCGGCTCGAGTGGCTAAGGTGATAGCCACATACACCTGAGCTGGCGGGTTTGAATCCATCCCAGGCCCACCAAACAACAATGATGGCTGCAACCAAAAAATAGCTGGGGCGTTGTGGTGGGCGATTGTATTCCCAGCTACTTGGGAGGAGGAGGCAGGAGAATCACATGAGCCCAGGAGTTGGAGGTTGCTGTGAGCTGTGATACCACAGCACTCTACCCAGGGGGACAGCTTGAGGCTCTGTCTCTAAATAAATAAATAAATAAATAAATAAAATAAACCTCTCTGTGCCTCAGTCGCCTTATCCGTAAGCATACTATTTAAAGCATAGGGCTGTTGTGAGGATAAAATGAGGTAATATAGGTAAAGTGCTTAATGTAGTGGCTGGCACTTAGTAAGTAATATAAATTCCATATTTGTTACTCTTTTTTTTTTTTT